CAAGAGCTCTCATGAACATGTAAAAAAAAAAAAAAAAAAAAAGGCTTCCTTTAAAACATTCAGACAGGAGAGATACGTGGGGTAGACATCAAACAAGACTGGGAGTATGTGGCTTAGTTTTGAAGCTAAGTAATGGGTAAGTACATGGACAGTTCTTCCACTATTCTCTTAATTTTCGCATGTTTGAAAATTTTCAGAATAAAAAGTTTTTAGATATGTAATGTATGTATAAAAATATGCACACATAGCACTCAAAACATTACGAGATACATAGAAAGCACTATCTACAATTTTCTGTTATTATTACTATTATTTACATGAGGGGAACAACAGAGAGAGGGTCCCACCCCGCGGAGAGCTCACAGTCCTGCAAGGGAGACGGGCATTAGACAAATACGTGCTCCAGTCAAAGAAGAAGCACCAACACGGAGACAGTGGGAGAGGGAAGCAGAGGGTGTTAGCAGCTGGTGTAACAGATGGAAATCTGGTCTTTGTGGTCAGAAGGGCTCCCTTCATCCAGACCTGGAAGGCAAAGCCACAACTTGACCTGGGGAGTCAGGGGAGGGTTTAAAGCTTCAGAGTCCATGGTCATATTTAGAAAGAATTTTACCACTGCCATGTGGAGGGTGGACCAGAGGGAGCAAAAGTAGGAGCGTGGAGGGACCCAGGTGGGAGAGGACCAGCTGGACCAAGGGAGGGCCATGGGGAAGGGGAAAGAAGTGGGCACAAGAGACATTCAAGAGAGTGAGTGGACTGTGGTGGTTCACGCCTGTAATGTTCACACTTTGGGAGGCCAAGGCAGGAGGATCACTTGAGGTCAGGAGTTTGAGAGCAGACTGGCCAATATGGCAAAACCCCATCTCTACCAAAAACCAAAAAATTAGCCAGGCATAGTGGCACACGCCTGCCCTCCTAGCTACTCAGGACGCTGAGACAAGAGAATTGCTTCAACCTGGGACTCCGAGGTTGCAGTGAACTTGAACCCGGGCAAGAGTCAGAGGTTGCACTCCAGCCTGGGCAACAGAGCAAGACTATGTCTTAAAAAAAAAAAAAAAAAAAAAAGGTGGCTGAATGGGTCGGGCATGGTGGCTCATGCCATTAATCCCAGCACTTTGGGTGGCCAAGGTGGGAGTATGGCTTGAGGCCTGGAGTTCACAACCAGCCTGAGCAACATAATGAGACACCCCCATGTCTATGTCTCCACAAGAAAATTAAAAACTCGCTGGGCTTGGTGGTGCACGCCTATAGTCCAGGTACTTGAAGGGGAGGTGAAGGATTGCTTGAGCCAAGGAACTTGGGGCGGCAGTGAGCTATGACGGTACCACTACACTCTATCCTGGGTGACAGAGTGAGACCCTGACTCAAAAAGAATAAATAAGAGACCAAGTAGGCTGTGGGGCTGATGAGGAGTGGGAGGGGTGAGGCCCCATATTCTGCCCCAGATGACTAGGTTCCTACCTCATAGTAGACACCATTGTGGTAGCAGCCGCACTGCTGGATGGGCACGCAGGCTTCACCGTTGTAGAGGAAGCCGACGTCACACTGGCAGCCCTCAGCACACCCATCTGGGCACTGCACAGGGGCACTGAGAGCCGCGCAGCCCAGGGAGCAGGTGTCCGCGCAGAGCTCATAGTGGCTGTTCGCTGGGCACTTTATGGCTGCAAGGAGGGGGTGCCCATCAGAGCCCTGGGGAGGGAGGGGCTGCAAGGCCCAGGGTCTACCCTTCTGTGCTTCAACCTCTCCCCTCCCTGCCCCTCTGGCTCTCCCTCACTCACGACAGAAAGTTTCCGTCCTCCAGGGCTTCACGTGGCCTCCAGCCGCCTGGCAAGCACTCACATAGGCATGGATGTTGCTGCAGAGAATGCTCAGGTTCCCACCACCCAGGCAGAGATCAAAGACGCAATCTTGCAAGGGACCCTGGGGATCCACCAGCTTGTGGCAGGAGGCCAGCGGCCCTGTGGGGCTGGAAAGGAGCCCACAGAACTCCTCCTTCTGATACTTCTTCTCCTGCTCGGGAGGACACTTGCTGGTGTCGCAGCCCTCGCTCCCTGGCGGGCAGGTGGGTGGCGGCAGGCAGGGAGAGCCAGGTACCGCCTCCTCCCAGGAGTTGCCGAAGTCATTGGCGTTGCCTGCCTGCGAGCCGTTGGGCTTCTGGAAGTCATCCTTGGGGTCGCCGTTGTAGTTCCCACACAGGCCACACATCTGCTGGTAGTAGTTTCCGGGGGTGGTGACCCGCACATAGTACACAAGGTCGTAGGCCACACGCAGGCCGAAGTCGGTCTCAATCACAACGTCTGAACCATGCTGGGAGGCTCGGATCTGGCCGTTGGCCAGCACCACGGGCAGCTTCATGTCCACACCGTTCACCTGGGAGGCGAGAGAGTCAGGCCACGCTTCAGAAAATAAACTTTGAGTGGGGGTCGGACCCTAGTTCAAGCCCATGCCTGATGCTGAAGATCTGTGTGTCCTCACCTCTTAGGCCCTCAGTTTCGTATTTATGAAATGGATATAATAATAGGGTCTGATATTGCATTGAATGGTGGTCCCCAAAAGACATATTCACCCAGAATCCCATAATGTGAGCTTACTTGGAATAAAGTTCTTGCAGATGTAATAGGATAATAATCTCAACATGAGATTGTCCTGGATTAAGCTGGGCCCTAAATCCAATGACAAGTGTCCTTATAAGAGCCAGAGAGAAACAGACACAGACACACAGAAAGGGTCACATGAAGATGAAGGCACAGGTTAGAATGGTGTTGTCACAAGCCCAGAGAACCTGGAGCCTCCAGAGCTGGAAACGGAAAGCAAGATCCCCCAACCAGTGCCTTTGGAGGCGGCGCAGCTCTGCCGACACCCTGATGTTGAACCTCTGGCATCCAGGACTGTGGGAAAGTACATTGTACTGTTTTAAGCCACGAAGCTTGTGATAATCGTTATGGCAGCCACGGGAATCGAATACATGTCTCAATGAAGTAACAAGCCTCCAGCTATCCTTTATGTATCACTCGATGCAGGCATTAATAAGCAATGATCGCCCCCAGAGCCACTTGCCCGAGTTCAAACAGTTTCCCCCTTACCCTCTTTGTGACCTTGGGCAAGAGAGTCACCTCTCCCTGTTTCTCTTTCCTCATCTTTCAGGCGAAAATAAGGTGTTTGCCCCATGGAACTGTTGTCAGGATGAGATAAATTAATGTCTGTAAAGTGCTGAGAAACATGGCTGGCATAGCATGCATGCTTCAGGAGCATCTGCCGTCACTAGCAGCTATGAATGGAGGTTTTTCTTCTGAAGAGTAAACGGACACCACAGGTTTTTGCTTTAAAGCATCAGTGGGTGGAAAGTTAGGCTAAATTCTTGGGGAAATGAACTCAAACCTATGAGCTGAGGACCAGTGGTTTCAGTTTAAGGTTACTAGGCACCAACAAAGCCTGGTAAATCCACCCCTGGACGGGGCACAGTGGCTCATGTCTATGATCCCAGCACTTTGAGACTCTAAGGCGGGAAGATCACTGGAGCCCAGGAGTTCAAGGTCAGTCTGGGCAACATATCGAGATCCTGTCTCTACAAAATAAAACAAATTAACTGGGCATG